GCGACAGAGTTAATCAAAGGACCAGGATTTGGCTCCCAGCTCTGACTTTGCCAGCAAGCCATCTAACCTTGTGAGCTGCAGTTTCCTCACCCGTGAAGACACAGTGAAGGGCTGGACCTAGTGGGAGGCCTCTGAGGCCCCTCAGGCGCTGAGCCTCTGGCAGGAGCAGATTAACCTGTAAGCAAGGTACGAAGGTACTGGTTTACAGTAAGCACAGGCTTAATTGTGTTTATTTACTAATCTGTAGTGCACAATTTCAAGATGTGGTGAAAAATAGGTAAAACTGTGCACTACAGATTAGTAAGTAAGCACAAGTAAGCCCATGTGTACCTTGCTTATTGGGTATTCTGTCCCTGGCCACCCTCTGGGATGAAGAGGGTGCTGAAGTGGGAACCCCAGACTAGGACTCAGGAACCCATGGTTCTGGCCCCAGCTTGTCCCTATTCTCTGTAGCCCTTTTGGGGCCTTGCTTTCCTCTGATAAAACAATGGGGCCAGATGCACAATTCTGAGCCCCCTCCCCGCTCTGGCTTCCTCTGATTTGGTGACTCTCCATGTTCCTCTCCCTGCAGTTGGGACTTGCATTTGACCGCTCTGCCCACTAGAGGGCACATGTGTTCCACCTGGTGCCTCCGGCAGGGCCTGCACCAGCCGGGAGTTGAAGCCTGCATAGCACCTCTCCGTGTGCCGGACCCTAGAGGAGGCATAGCCCCTCGCTCTCCACTGCTCTGTTGTTTCAAACGCGGCAGGATGTGGGTCCTTCAAGATGGAGGGAGGCCAGGGGTGGGAAGCTGCCTGGTGGGGTTCAAGTTCTAATCCTGAGAGCTGCCGGGAGCTGGGGACGGGCAGAGGCAGGGATGGGTCCGAATTCACAGGGTCAGCCAGGACGCAGAAAGCACTTAATACTCCCTGGTGTCACTTGGAGGCTACTTTAGGTCAGGGGCCCTGGGAAGGTGGCAGACGCTTCAGCGGAAGGGCCTAGAAAAGCAGGGTGTTTCTGGGATACAAGGTGAGCTCAGGACAAGCCCCTGCCAAGCGCCTCCACTGCAGATTTCTCTGCCACTGCAGAGTGGGGGTGGTGTTGGTATTTCTGCACACCTCCTCTTGCCTGGCGCTGTGCTAGGTGCTTTCATGATGGATGTGGGGAGGTGGGAACTTGGAGGTGGGAACTTGGAGGTGGGAACTTGGCTTTGTTCTTCCTGGTGGGCCCACTCAGGCCCCCTAGAGAGCACTTCAATGCACCTCTGGAATCTTTGGCCTCTCAGGCAAGGTCCAAACTCTTATCCCCCTATTTAGGGCTCCTCATGATGTCTGAGGCCAGCAATTCAGAGCATCTCCTGTTCTTAAATCCTGTGACTTCCTCTGGTGACTTGTCCCAGGGGAGGGGCTGAGCAGGCAGACACTCTGAGCAGGCTTTGAGTCCCCCGCTTATGGGATGCAGTCCAGGTGCTTCGGGGCTGTGCCCAGTAGGTTCTGGCATCAAAACAGTTTGAAAACAAGGGCCCTGCAGGGGATTCCCCCTCCCCCACCCCCTTTGGCCTGGGCTGATCACCAGATCTGGGAGAATTCCAGGGGGCTGCCTTGAGGGGGGTCCCTGGGTGGTGCAAATAGTTTACGCTTGCCTATAAACCTAAAGGTTGGAGGTTCGAACACACCCAGTGATGCTGTGGAAGAAAGGCCTGGCGAACTGCTTTTGTAAAGATTACAACCAAGAAAACCCTATGGAGCAGTTCTACTCGGTAACACATGGGGTCACTATGAGTCAGAATTAACTCGAAAGCAACGAATTTGGCCTTGAGGGGTCAGTCTGCAGGGTGCCCTCGGGTCAGAAGCTGCCCCCAGAAGCCCTTCCTGTTTTTGAGGCAGAACTTGAGGAGAATTTAGGATAATCACAGCTACCATTTGCTGAGCACTCACTGCCAGGCAGACGCTGCAGTCTTATGTGTATGACCTTATTTAATTATCGAACAACCCCCGGAGGCAGGTGTCATCATCTGCGTTTCATGGAGGAGGAGACTGAGGCACAAAGAGGCTACGGAGCGTGCCTATGTTCTCCTAGCTGACTGATGGCAGAGCTGGGATCGAACTCAAATCTGTCGGATCTTCTCGTGTATGCTGTTTCCCTATCAGCAGCTATAACTCTCTTCCAGACTACGTGAGAGCCTCTTCGCTGGTCTCCCACCTCCAATTGTCCCACCCTCCCACCTGTCCCCCTCCCCCACCTCCTTTCAGGTCCCCACTCAGCAGCCTGAGGAGCGTCCAAAAATATCCGTTAGTCATGATCCCCACCCTCCCCCGCAAGCTGTACTTTGATTTCCTGTCACACTCAGAATAAACTCAGAACCCTGTGCTCTGGGCCAAAAGGCCCTTTGTGGCCTGGTCCCTGCCTCACTCTCTGACCTCAGGTCTCACCATTGGTCAGGTGACAGCTCTGCTCCTTCTGCGTCAGACACCTGAAACTCAGTCCAGCCACCGGAACTTTGCCCTTACCATTCCCTCTGCCACGGCACTTGAGTCCCTCAGAACTTCTAGTGCCTTGCTTGTTCCCTCGCTTTACTCCGGCACTGCCTGCTATTACCCCCCCAGAGAAGCCTTCCCTGACCCCCTGTAGAAAACACCACCCTTTCCCCTTGCTTTATTTCCTACGGCACTTGCCATGTCTCACTGCCTGAAATTATATTATTATTTTCTGCCTGTTGATCTGTTGATGTCCGTCCACTTCACTAGGACAAAAGCTCTGACTCTGCCTGTCATGTTTATAGCAATAATCCCCAGGGCCTAGACTACTGCCTGGCACATAGTAGGTGGTTTATGAATACTTGGTGAATGAATGAATGAATGATTGGTGTGGAACATTATTATTTAGCCTCTATAAAGACAAGTAATCTAAGAGGGGCCTTTTGGAATTGGCCTTTGACCATACTGGCAGAGAAACTTAGAGTTAGGGCTCAGTCTAGGGTGAGGAAAGAGAGGCATGTAGGGCACAGAATTCAAGGAGGTATTTGGGTGACTCAGAAAGTGGGTGCTTTCTTAGGTTTTGCACCCCAGGTGCCTCACTTGCCTCACCATAGGCCCAGCCCCGCTTAAAATATTTTATTTTCTCAGCCCTGGCACCCTGGCTGCGGCCCAAGTCTGGTGCTCCTTGTAGGATTCCACAGGAGCCCGCTCTTCCTACCCTGCTGCCCCGTCAGCCTGTGTCAGCTCCTTGCTAGGGTAGCTCCAGGCCTGACATCTCCAAAAGGGACTCCTGTACCTGTAGACCCATCAGCTGGTCTTTGCAGCTGTGCCTCTTCTTCTGGTCCGTCCCCTCCCACCCACTGCTCGTGTGCCCTCTTCCCTGCCTGCCAGAAGCCTAGGGAAGACAAGGGGGCTGGGCTGGGCTCGGCTTTGCTCTGGCCCTGCTGTATGGAGAGCAAGGCCTCCTGAGTCTCCATCTGTCCCCGAGGCTGCTTGGCTCAGCAAAGATAATTGGAAGTGGTGGGGAAGAAGGGAGAAACCAGGGCCCAGTGCAGTGAATCCCCTTGTCCAGGGTTTTCAGCTAGCAAGTGGCAGTGTCAGAAGTAGGGTGAGACAGCCAAGTTCGGGGGGTGGGTGCTGACCTACAGTGGTTCTGGAAAAAGTTGGGGGCCATTTGGCTGTCCCCGGCTAGACAGATGATTTGGTCTCTCTCCATCCCTAGCTTTGCTCTACCCCCACTGTACCCCCAGGGCCACATGTGGTGCCCCTTATGAGCTTTGCCCACCCCCACTCCTGCCCCCTCACTAATTTCAGTGGTAAGAGACCCAGCCCGCTGCCTGGAGCTCTGTCCTTCCTCACTCCTCCACTCCCCACTGGGGACAGAAGGCTGCCCCCTCCCTGACCCTGAATCCTCACCAGCTGTGGCTTTGTCTGCAGTGCCACCAGGGTGGAGCATGGAGGTCATGGTACCCCTCATCCTCAATGTCCTCAATGGCTCTGATGCTCGCCTGCCCTGCACCTTCAACTCCTGCTACACAGTGAACCACAAGCAGTTCTCCTTGAACTGGACCTACCAGGAGTGTAGCAACTGCTCCGAGGAGATGGTGAGTCCTGGGCCGGAGGGGGGGAGTGGGTGGGAGCCAGCACGGAAGCCCACCTTTCCACCACCTGCCCCTGTACTCAACCAGGACCTTAGAGTGTTCTGGGTGACCTGTCTGCTCCAGTGGGCTTTGGGAGAAGGTGCCACATTGGGGTGGCCCACGGCTGGAGTGGAGGAGGCTGGACTTTGGAGGTAACTACCTCACTTCCCAGGTCAAGGGATGGCATTGAGGGTGGGCGGGAGAAGGGAGTGTCCCCACTGTCCTTGAAGCTCTTGCTTGTCCAGCTGCCCAGCATGTCCTGTCCTTTGCCCCACCCCCCAGTTCCTCCAGTTCCGCATGAAGATCATCAACCTGAAGCCGGAGCAGTTTCGAGACCGCGTGGAGTTCTCAGGGAACCCCAGCAAGTACGACGTGTCAGTGACACTGAAAAATGTGCAGTCTGAGGATAAGGGCATCTACAACTGCTACATCATGAACCCGCCCGACCGCCACCGTGGCCATGGCAGGATTCACCTGCGGGTCCTCATGGAAGGTGGGCAGAGCTGAGGAGCTAGGAGGGGCTAGGGAGCCAGGCTGTCGGGGACCCTGGACATTCCCACCCAGCCACTCTCCAGCATTATTAGCTCAGGGCACCTCTGAGGAGGCTGTGCCCTCCTGAGGGGTGGGAGCAACAGCTTGTGTTTGGGGGAAGCATCCATTTGATCCCCTACAGTTCCTGAGGACCTGGGAATCCTCTCAGTGAGTCCTCATAATACTAGTGATCATGATCTTAACAATAATAGCAGCTTTAACTTCCTGGGCACTTACTGTGTCTCAATTGAAGCATTAGCGGTTCAGTGGTAGAATTCTCACCTTCCATGCAGGAGACCCAGGTTTGCTTCCCAGCCAATGCACCTCACGTGCAGCCACTGCCCATCTGTCAGTGGAGGCTTGAGTGTTGCTATGATGCTAAACAGGTTTCAGAGGTGCTCCCAGACTAAGATAGACTAGGAATAAAGGCCTGGCAACCTACTTTCAAAAATCAGCCAGTCAGAGCCTATGGATCACAACAGTCCACTCTGCAACCAATCATGGGGATGGCACAGGACCAGGCAGGGTTTTGTTCCACTGTGTTTGGGGTCACCATGAATTGGGGGCCGACTTGATGGCAGCGAACCACAACAGTACTATATCTCAGGCGAAGGACTGAGCTCTAATGCATTATCTCATTAGAGCCTCATAAAAACCCTGTGAGGGAGGTGCTATTATTACCCCATCTTTGCTCTACCCGCCCTCCAACTTCACCCCTAGGGCCACATGACCAAGATGAGGAAACGAGGCTTAGAGAGGAAAAGTAAGTTACCCAAGGTCACACAATGAATAAATAGTACAATCAGGACTCAAACCTGGACCTGTTTGATCTTCGTGTCCATGCTCTTAAATATTTCATTATACTCCCTCTCCTGGGGGCTTCCTGATGCCCTGGGATTTCTTTTTGGGGGGAGGGGCATTTAGAGGTCAAATTCCTGGGTTGATTTTTGGCTTTCACTAAAGTCCTTTCCGTGGAAGAGAGTAAAGTCAGGGGCACCCCACATACTACATGGGAGTATGGGGGAACAGTGAAGGAGACCCCCTTTTGTAGGCCTAGTGCTCAGGGGGTCTGTTTCCTTTCCTTCTCCAGAGCCCCCTGAGCGGGATTCCACGGTGGCAGTGATTGTGGGCGCCTCGGTGGGGGGCTTCCTGGCTGTGGTCATCTTGGTGCTGATGGTAGTCAAGTGCGTGAGGAGGAAAAAAGAGCAGAAACTGAGCACCGACGACCTGAAGACTGAGGAAGAGGGCAAGACGGATGGCGAGGGCAACGCAGACGATGGCACCAAGTAACAGGCAGGCTGCCCGGCCTGCCGCCCTCCCGTGTGTTCTGTCTCCCCCGACTCTGCCCTGTACAGTGTGACCCCACCTGCCCTCTCTTGGTGTGCTTCTCTTGAACCAGGATCCCAGTGCTGACCTTGGGCCTCCGAGCCCCTCACTTCTTATCCCCCACCCCGCACCAAGGGTGACCCACCTCTCTTTCATCTGAGAAATCTGCCATGACCTATGGGACATGTAGGCCCTGGGGCGGGGGAATGGGGCCCAAACCCACCAGTTCCGAGAGGAGGCAGGGGGCAAGTGTGAGAGCCCCAAAGAAAGAAGGGGTGAAGGTGGGAATGGTGGAGGAAGGAGTCAGCTTCTAAGTCTGGCCAGTGCTTGGACTCATCTGGCAGTGGCTTCAGAAGAACCTGGTGTGGGCTCTCTGTGCCAGTCAGAGCTGCCTCAGGAAGCCCCTGGGTGGCACGGCTATGTTTCTCGCTGCTCCCAGCGGGCTGGGGGTGATGATGAGTTCCTATGATTTGGGATAGAGGGATATGCTAAAGGGGCTACTATGAATTTCCAGAGCATTGAAGGAAAGTTGAGGCTGGAGGCAAAACTGGAGACAAGCCTAGGCCCCAGGAGTTCTGCGCTGACTCTTTTCCATTGATAGCTGCTACCATAGAAGCCTCTTGGTTTTCCAGTGGCCGCTAATCCCGTGGGATTTTTGGTGCAACCAGTACTGGAAGAGCAGCTAAGAAGGGCTGTGGGTGGATTGTGCTGTTCCAGGTAGTGGTCATTTTCCACCGCAGTTACCTACAAACAGGAGACTCATTTCAAAGTCAGCTGAGGGATTGAAGGGGTGGAGGCACCATTGTAAAGTGAAGTTTTCTTCAGACTGTCTTTTCAGGAGCAGACAAGGCGCAGGAATGAGGAGGGGAGTGGAGGCCGTGGGCAGAGGAGTTGCTGTGCAGAGGGGAGGCAGCTTCATCCAAGGGTTCCACATGGACTGTCCCACTTAGCCTCAGTAGGGCTTTCAGCTGGCTTTTGGCTAGAGACCAGGGATCTTATTCAGGGAGCACCCTGAGGGAAGAGTGAGGGGTGAACTTGGAGCCTCTTAGACCCTAGGGTCCTGTCACATCTGGAGCCCTGTTACACCTTCCTCTGCCTCAGTAACTCCCTTTGTGGAGAGGAAAGTAGGACTTGTGGGGAGCCAACTTTCACTGCCATTTTACCCACATCAAAAGGGGACTGCTTAAGCTGAGAGAGAGGGAAGAGAGACAGAGCAGAGACACAAACTGCAGACTCAGAGAACACTACCTTGAAAGACCCTCAGATATCAACTAGCCAAGTCACTCATGTTAGATGGGGAAACTGAATCTCAAACTGACAGAATCTGAGATTCTTGCCATTTTCTCCTTTGGCTTCTCAGCCTCCAGTTGGAATCAACAAAGCCATAATATTTCCAGTGGGGGGGCCTTTCTGGACTGGTAGATGAGGGAGGCAAGGTGAAGGAGGTAGACTTCTCCCAGGAGCCCAGCCCCTTCAGGCTATGGAGGCAGGGGTGGAGTGACCCAGTGAGAGGGCAGAATTGCTGGCAACGGCAACGCCTCATTCCCTCTCCAGGCTGAGCCTCTTCAAGCACTCCAGCCTTTCCAGGTGAGCTCAGCCCCCACCCTTGGCTCAGGGAGTTAGCACCTAGGGCAAGGAGTAAGGCTGGGGGCAGAGGGTGGAGATGGGACTGTGACAGTCTCAGGGACAAATCCTTGCTTCTGCCCATCAGATAGCCAATTTGGGGAGGGAGTAGTAGCTCATGGGAGGTTCAGTTTAATTCACCTCAATTCAGCATCCATTTATTGAGCATCTGCTAGCTGCCAGGCACGTGCCAGGTGCCAGGACACTCACAAAGCCATAATAGAGTTGGGAACTGCCATGTCAGCACTGTGGGGACCAAGATTAGTTTTTTGGTGCATCTAATTCCATCTCTGCAGCCATTGCTTGTGAGCCTGGAGTTGAGGAAGAAGGAAGGGATTCCAGAGTCTGGGCCCTGGGAACAACAGAAAGGGAGGCAAGAAGGAAGATAAAACCAAGAGGAGAGTACAGAGGCCAGGTCTGGGGAACGCAGAGGATGGGCAACCAGCCAGATAGCTCCTGAGTGAGAGGAGTCCAACCCTTCTGGAAATTCTACACTCATCAGCTCAGAACCTAACTGCCAATCAACACACTGCCAATGAGGTGGGCTAAGCCACCAGGGTGCCTGGAGCAGGTAGATGCCACCCATCCATCCAGCCAACCAGCTGAGAGGGGAGAGCTGAGTGGGACACCTCCTGCCAGTTGAGACCAAGGGTGGTTGTATACATTTCTGCAGCTTGCAGATTGCATCTTTCAGCAATCTCTTAAGTGCCCTCCTCTCCCAGGATGAGTGAGGATCTGCACTCTTTTTTCCAGGACTCATGACATTTAGAGGAGTTATTTGCAAGACTCCCTGGGTTTATTCGAAGAAGTCCTAATACCCCATAAAGAAGCCCAAGACTTCTGAGTGCTTTTCATTCTCTGCCCTGACCAAGGGAGGCCTAGGGAAAGCCATGCTTCTCCATGCCCTCAGGGTCCCAAGCAGATGGGGATGGGTCAGGAACCACCCTTGCCCCAGGTGCCCACCTTCATAGGCACTTTCTCCTCCAGCATCTTACAATCTGCTCTCGATCAAGATCCTGTGGGCTCCCAGAGCTGCCTCCCCCAGCGCAGTGAGGTTGAGAGCAAATCGAGGCTTCTGTGAGAAGAGGTGGGGAACGAGTGAGATGTTTCCGCTGCAGCCATTTCTCTACCTTGCTTTCTAGCGTATGCCAGCAAGCCGTTCCTCTTCCGGCACAGTGGGGCTCAAGCCCCATTTCTGGCTGCATGTTCCCACCACTGCACTCTGCCAGATTCAGTCTGCTGGCCTTCTCAAGCTCCCTTGCCTCTCCTGCTCTCTCAGAACCCCTTATCTATCTCTTCTTCCTAATTAAGGGCCACTGTACAGAGAGATGGGCTGGCCAACTATGGGATTTAGCTTATATGAACAAAGCACAATTTTTTTTCAGGACTGAAATGCCTTGAGGTGCCTTGGAACTGGCTTTGGAAATAGATATCTATCCCCTAGCTATGGACTAATCACAGTTATCCGAATTTATAAAAAGGAAAACCTGAATGGATCCATATTTCTCCCTGTGAGTCTTCTTGGGGAGACTGGGCTGGTAACTATTTACAAGGTCAGATTAAACAGATGGACAATTGAAAATACTGGCCAGTTCCAAAGAGATAGTCCCAAGCCATAGGAATGGCTTGGTGCAGTTTGAAATGGGTGATGAATGAAGAAAATTTCCTTCCTAGTTACGTCTTAATGATAGATAGGCTATGTCTTAAAATATTTTCTGCCTCTTGCTGATGTCTTCCTTTATTGAAGCTTGCGATTACATTGTACATAGTCTATATACAGATATAGATATACTATATATACAAATATGAAACATCTCACTGTACTCATCCCAAAGTTACATTGTTGGGGGGGTGGTCATCATTTCTCAATGTTTTGAGTTGATTCACCAAAGGAAAATTTTGGAATTTTCTTATTGCTCTTTGTGCACTTGGAGAGGAAAGCCCAACTACTTACGCACTTTCTAGGTTTTATGTGCTATGTGGTGGTTGGAAGGGGTGGTGGGGAGAGAAGCATAAATGATCCTATGTGACCTGACTACTGTGGTGTACCTGCTTTTTGGAGCAGACTGAGTTTCTTTTGCAGTTTGTCTTCCTGCTTGGATCTATTGCCTAAAATAAACAAACTGTCTCCCCAGAACATCCCTCGAGTGTGGCTTTTTTCAGGAGTGCAGAATGGGGTAGGTTGAAGCTTAGCCAGGATCTTGACAGGGACTCCTGACTCTCCTTTCTTGGTAATTCCATGGACACTGCCAGGTCTCCATCAGCTGAGGACCTCAAAGCTCTTACTCATCAAGGATAAGGTCGTTCTACTCTACTCATGTTTCGTCTCTTTTCCCCTTTGGCTTCCCAGAATCCTGGGGACTCTACCCAGCCTGGAAATACCCCAGGGACAGGGTAGATGAACAATCACTTCTTGGAGGTCTCTTGGTTAATTCTGGGATGAAGACAACCCTTTAAGCCCCCAAGTCTGTTACGCTGATGTTGCCTATTATTTATTATTTCATGGACAGATGGGCCATCCTGCCAGCTCCTTGTTTCTAAACTGTGTCTTACTAAGGCAGACACCTCTTGCTTGCTCAGGACTCAGGAAAAATAGAAGACAGCTGGCCAGAGCCTGCCTTCATGCAACTGGAGGATAAACGTGGCTGGTGGGAAGAGTCAGGTTGCTCATGTCCCATCTACACACTGCTGTCTTCCATTTATGTAGTGCTGAATCAGCCCTAAGAACTTCAGGACCAAATGCTACTCCTTGCCTAGGGGCTCTACTATCCCAGACCCGCTCTGGTCTTTTCCTCTCTTGCTCCCTGTTCTTATGTCTCTCTTTGTATCTCTTTCTCTTTCTTACACACACACACCCTTGCCTAGGAGGCTTCCAGATAAGAAAAACCTCAGCTTCCCAAATGACAAGGAAATGCCTAAGTGCTGGTTTCTACTTTTCTCCTACTTTTTCTGTCTTTTCTGTTTGCTCACTGCTGACTCAGATCCTGGCCTGTGGTTAGTGACCAGATGCATTTTAGAACATTCTAGGAGGATCCTGACATTGGTAGTACTAATACCTGCAGGGATTACAGCTGCTACCTGACAGAGAAGCCAGAAAGGAGGAGGCAGCATTAAACAGAGGTGGCTGGAATTTAACAGACCAAATGTACCTTGATTTAAAAGGATGTTTGTCCCCTGACACTCCTGAAGTCTAAGGATAGGATGTCAGGGAGGTTAACAGTTAGGGAAACTGAGGCAAGGGGTGTGGATTGAGCGGCAGAAGACCTGGAGATTCTGGCTGGTCCCTTCCTGAGTGGAGACAGGCCAACAGTATCTTCCTTATCAAGAACTTTTCCCCCAGAACACTTTGAGGATAAAAGCTGGGCCTGGCTTCCATGAGGGTTAGATTTGGTTTGGTCACCTCTCCTACACTGATGTTCTTCGGCCCAGCTTTTGTTGG